GAATATTTATGCCAGTTTTAGTCTGAAGAAACTCCCCTACAATCTTCACTAGACTTATGTTGAAATGCATGTAACAACCCTAAAGAAAAATTCATAGAATAGAATAAAAAACTTTGGAGGTGTCTTCAGTACCCCCTCACCATCTTATACTCACCTGTGCCCAACCTCGTTCAAGGAAAATAAAAAAATATACAGGGTTATTCACTAAAGGGTGTCAAGAGTTTGGGGAAGGCAGGAGAAGTGAGCAATCTAGGCCAAAATAGCTGATTTGGAAAAATTATCCAATTCAGCTCACTTTCTAGATCAGCTATTTTGGGCTAAATTGTTCACTCCTCCTGCCTTCTCCAAACTCTTCAACCTTTAGTGAATAACCCTGATAGTATTTTTGCTTGCACATGATTGAATAATGGAAGTTAGCAGAGCTTCACCTCCTTCACTAAAGCTGGCAATACACCTATAGATTATCTGCAGATTTTCTATGGTCAGATGGAAAAAGTGTAACGGATTCCTCCATCTGCACTAAACTGTGTCGATGGAGGGCCAAGCTTCAGTGTCTTAAGGTGCCCATGCACCTTACAATTATCTGCAGATTTTCTGTGGTCAGATGGAAAAAGTGCAACAGATTGGCCCAGGAGATCTGGAGGGAGACTTTTCAATTGCAGCAGCACTATTGTGGCAAGGTCCTCCCTACATGTGAGGAACGATACTGGCAACAATGGGAATTGCGCGTGCATTTCCTGGGAGAGCAGCCATGGGAGGAATGGCTGTCGGAGCTGGATTGGCTGCTCCAAATGGAACTCATGCTGGATGACGGTTATCGGGCGCTGCAGTCACCCAATTGTGTCCAGGGCTGGAGAACAACGATCCCACAGAGGGCTATGACTTCGGCGGCCCGGGACTTATATTTGAGGCACTCCAGGAGGATCCACAATTTGGGAGTGCACAGGAGTGGAGGTGGGAGGACATGCATGATTTTAGGGAGGTGGAACTCCCCCGTGAGCTCGGATTGAGGACTGATTTGGACTTTTTAGTTACACAGGAATGGGAGCTGGAACAGGCATACAAAAGACTGTTCGACACTGCTCAACAGCATGCCCCAGCAACCACAGATGTTTTGGAGCCACTAGTCCCAGCAGAAGAGCTGGCATCAGGGCAGAGTGCTGCTGACCTCTGCCCAGCACCACTAACACCTCTGAAGCTCCAGGGAGCCAGGGCAGGCAGCCCCTCTCCCCAACAGCAGGCTGATGCAGAGGAACTACTGATCCCAGCTGAAGAGCTGGCAACAGGGTTCCAGGGAGAAGAGGCAGCCGACCTCTCTCCCCAGCTGCTGACGAAGTTCCAGGAAGAAGAGGTAGCCGACCTCTCTCCCCAGTGGCAGATGAGCAGTCCAAGAGAGAGGAGGTGGTCGTCCTCCCTCCCCAGCAACAAATTGGGATACAGGAAGAGGAGGTGGTCGTCCTCACGCCCCAGCAGCAGTTTGGAATGCAGGCAGAGGAGGAAGCCAGCCTCCCGCCCCAACAGCAAGCCAGAACTGAGGATGTGGTTTCCCTAGCAGAAGTGCTGACACTAGGGCAGAGCACCACTGGCCTATGTCCCACACTGTTGCCTGTTCCAAACTTCATGGGAGAACAGGAAGCCGGCCTCTCTTCCATGAGAGGGCTTTGGTGTCAAGAAGATTCTGGCTTTACCTCTCTCCAGAGGCAGCATGTTTCTCAGAAAGGCACAGACGACATCTCGCCCCAGAGGCAGGGTGTCCTGTGGTTGAAACTTATGGACTTATGCTGCCCGAGAAACGCAGGTCCAAACCAGTTGGGGGACTGGGACCTAATTAGTCTACCTTTTAGAGGGGAGAAATGCCACAGAGCCCATCGTGACCTGGGCTCCTGGAGGGGCCTGGCAGCCTGCCTCCTTCCCACTTCCCTTCGACTACGGACCTAGGATTTTGGAGACCCCCCTTGTTTGGTTGAACCGGGTGTCCGGGGTCAATGGACGGCTGTTGCGGTGGAGCCTGGCCCTACAGCCGTCCAATTTGCCAATTCAATACCGGCTCTGGAAACCCAATGGTAATGCTGATGGACTATCCCACCAAACAGAACTGGAAGGGTGACTAACAGCTTGGACATCCCCAAGTGAACCCGTAGAGGGTCTCACTGGGTCTGCCATCTTTTAACTTGGATGAGCTATGTGACAACATGGTGATGAGTTTATAAGTTAAATGTGTATTGGTGTTGGTTTATGTTTAAGTGCATTATGCTGTGTGACCTGGTTATGAAAAGACTATCAGCACCATCCCTCGTTATCTCCCTTTGTACTCTGAAGGAGCTCAGAACAATGACATTCTGGCCAGGCTCTGCTATGGCTGTCTGGAGCTCGTTAGCAGGTGGACCCCTGTGGTGTTGAGCAGACCGATTGTCTGGGGAAGGCAGGGTGGATGTGATGGGATTATAATCTGATCTCATCACTTGCTGTATAAAAGTTTGTGCAGTTGCTCAATAAATCAGAGTTTGTTTAACCCTACACTTGTGTCTCGACCAGTGACTGGGCAAACTGAGAGCTAAAGATCTTCAGCTTACAATATCTCCTGAGCAAGGAAGAATACAGCGGCGGACATACTCATCCTGAATACTCGGGTCTGTCACATCAATGTCATCCACTTTCTAAACTGTATATTAATTGGCAAAAATCAGTCAAGTATTGTTTAGCCACTCCTCGAGATGCATTATTTATTACATCCAACCTTCTGCACAATCACCTATTTTAAATATATATGTATTTTAATAACACAGCCCCCCTTGATGTTTCACTTCCTTAATATATTACTGCTTAGGGTTTTTGTTGAACTAAATTTCATGCTTGGTAAAACATTCCTATTAATGAAATAGGCAGGATAAATTTAATTAAAATGATATTGCCAACTAAGCCTCTGTATACACGGCAGAAAAACCTTGACCTCAATACCTAAAGACTTTATTAAAAAGCTACAAAGTCATATATTATTGTTCGTCTGGGTCTCCAGTTGTAGTAAAGGTAAACTAAACATACTGCAACATTCCACGTGGGGCTAGCATTAGCAGACTTCTGCTATCTGTTATCTGGCTGGCCAGCTTCAATACTTTATTTTTGGTTTATTCCCCAGGATGATTTGCCTTCCCACTGGCACATTATATCCGATGTAATAATCTAATAGCCTTCTTAAAATCTGCCCAATTACATATAATTTTTAAGTTGGTGTTCTGCAGTTGGATCAATTATATAACTATAAACCACATTTAAAGCTCGATACTGTATAAAATATTTCCAGAATAGTAAGAGGTATTTTCCACCACTTGCCAATGCACTAATAAATAGTTCCCAAGTGGCATCCTTCCTTTAATGTAACATCTTACAATCAGTGTGTTACGCATACATGGGGACCCTGGGACACCGTCATAAATTCCTATCATATCGCTTTCCCAGCAGCTAATAACTGTCTAATTAAATCCTTTATACTACCAATCCTACTCATTACTAGACTATAAAGTATTAATCACTAATCCCACAATAATGACACATATGTAAGAGTTTAGAAGCTGACTTCTGGCATTTAATTTGGGCTCGTCCAAATATATCAGCTTTTTGTTATGAGGATTTTTCTTTTTTTGTGTGTTAAAGTGGAAACAGCATAGCCATTCTTTTTCTGCAGCCATGCTTATCCCTAATTATTAAGCCTTTGACAGTATTGCAATTATTGCCAGCTTTCTTGACATATTAGGAGCTATGGGGTTGAATTACTAAATAGCATGTTTACTTTTCAAGGGCATTTTCCCTTTTTAAGGGAGTTTTCACTTTCAGTGAAGTGAATGTGGGGAAGTTGTGCCGACCTTAATCATTCAATCACAAGCTAGCAAAATTCTTTTTTTTTTCTTTGCATCTGGTTCGGTATTCTTTGCAAAGTGAATTTTAATTACATTCACTAAGCTAAGGGAAAATTCTTTTTTAAAGTGGAAATTTCCTTACAGAATCAACATGCTTTACTCCCTTAGTAAATCAACCCCTATAACCCTGCCCTGATCTGAGGACAGTTCCTATGGGTTGTAGTAATGGTTCTGCTATACAGTGGCAGCAATGCTACTTATTTTAGTAACAGCACAGCACCCTAAGTACCTCTTCACCTTTCACTCTGCCCAAAGAAAGTAGCTGACAACATATTACCTCCCTGTGTAATGCCTATTGAGTGTTTTGCAGTGCAGATATACTCCCAGGGTCATGTCCCAGTGACTATATCGCACTGCCATCTACAGCCTCTGTAGCAATTCCTCCTCCTAGGCTGCATCTTTTAAAACTGCATGTAGACCAGCTGGATTAAGTGACATAAATTTAGAAGATAATTTTGTTGGTACTTTTACTATTTATTCTTAAGTATGGGGTTTAATCAATGTACTCAGGGTTTCTCTACTGTATCCATCTGACATTATGCAGATAATGTGCTGCCACATAGAAAATTATTCAGTGCCTTTGTCTCTGTATTTCCTCCTCTGGTCTTGTAAATAGTGCCTGGGATCATGTGCAAGTTGGATGGGCATTTACCTCAAGCCAGAAACCAATCTTTATGAGCCAGACTGGTGAAGGTCCATATGGCTCCAGCTTGTAAATACTGCCCTGCATTAAGTATTGAATCAGCACTGCAAGGGTCTCTAAATGAGTCAACAATCACTTGAAATGAAGGAAATATTATTGAAGATAATGACTTATTGTTTATGTAGCCAATGGTTTGCTGGAAGCTAGGTTAAGTAGAATGTGTTACCTTGGTTTACTTTGTCACATGTACAAAATGTGTTAGCAATAATGTTGTGCTCCATAAAAAGCAAACTATTCTCAAGATTTCTGCCAACGTCAAAGGTCAAAGTTTGCAATTATTCCTTGATCAAAAAAGAAACATAAGTAACCATGTTTTCTTTACATAAGAGGGGATGATCGCATCAATGAACAATGGTGGTGAGGTTGCACATTGGAGTACTTACCGTATCTCCATAGCCAATGAAGAATTTATCTTCCAGCTTGGTCCAGAATGAGGAAATGCTTCTTTTCTTAAGATTTTTTCAGAGCTGTTTACGGTTAGTCTGCTTAGGCTAAGATCATTATCTCTGAAATGACACACACAAGCTAATTAGTTATATTGTCCAAAAATGTTGTTTAAGCATGACAATTGGTCAGCAATGGAGGCTTGGCTTAGTTTGGCCATACATTTTAGCAAGTGGCTGGATGGGCATGGATAATTAAGCTGTCTTTCATGCACTCCCATCATGCAGAGTTTTCATAAACAACAAATTTCAGCTTGCAGCCAATGGAGAGAAGAAGGGGGAAGAACAGCAGACACACCATCAGCACCACTTTTTCCATGAAGTAAAAATATATGGGGCAGATTTTCTCACCTACTTAATCCATTGTTCCTCCCCAAAGCCGGGCTGGTGGTCCCTACAGGACTCAAGGAAATTAGATTGTTGCCTGGTCTAAGTGAAAATAGCAGTCTGATGTCTGTAGAAAGCCTTAGTTTACACATTTTTCTCACATTAACTCATTGGCTACCAAAGAGCCAGGCAAGAAATCAGCACATGGGAGGAACCGCAAACCCAGGTATAGAAATTTTATTTACTGGCATTCCCATTGATTAAGATATTGGTGGGAAAATAAACCTGCCTTCAACCCCAAATTTGATTAACATTTTAGGTGGCCTACCTCTTCAAGAATAGAAATATGAAAAATTATGTGGAAATCAGGACATTTCAGTAAAAATGTTGCAATTTTGACTAAATGCATTGGAGTCAAGATGGAGTCATGGGGAAGGCAGAGATAAGGTGATTTTTGATTGTTTTAAAGGGTGAACTGGGCTTTAAATGGCTCAAGAGCGTTATAGAAAGTCCTTTCTACTGTTGTGGATCCTTGTGCCAAAATACAGCCCCTCCCTAACCCCATTACTTTACTTTTTTTTCACAGAAAGAAAGAAAAGAAAAGAAAAAATGTATTTAAAAATACACAAAAAAAAGGAATGAAAAAACAGACATGCAAAGAATACTAAATGGAATGAACGATACTACCCTAAAAACCACAGTCACCCACACAAGAAAACTCCCTCTATATAACAGAATACAATTAAAATATTTTTCAAGCAAATGTCAGCTAAGCAGCTCAGCAAGTAAAAAAAATAGAGTGTCCGCTTATGGCGAAGTTCTGAGGCAAATTCCATTACTTGGTGAGTTCTGAAAAATGCAAAAAAAATCCAAAGGATCTGCTTGTAAGGGTGAGCAAGGAAGCAGATTCTCCATTCTCTTTATTACTAAACAGCTACTGAATGAGCATACAGCTCTTTTTCTGTACACAAAATGTACTTAACCAACTACCGCTCCTTTAAATTCTTTCTCTGCCTCAGAATTACAGCGTATTGTGACAGAAATACAGTCTATTGCATTCATAAGTTAATATTAACAACAGCGCAAACAGGATATAATCTTTCAATTAAAGTTCTTGCATCAGTGAGTTTGCAGAATATGACTCTGTTCACCCCTGAATTATGGGACACAATTATAACAATACTAGTATGCCTTCGGTTTAGACATACAATGGATTTCCACGTTCCATTTATTTAACAGTAACCTTAATGACTGCCTAAAACACAAGATCTACTATCAAGATTATTCACTAAAGGGTGAAGAGTTTGTAGAGGCAGGAGATGGGAACAATCTAGGCCAAAATAGTTGTCCTAGATTGTTCACTTCTCATACCTTCACCAAACTCTTCACCCTTTTGTGAATAACGTCTCTGCCCAATCTTTATATACTGCCCTATTAATTCTGTTTATCTAAAGGCAACATTTTTACACCAAAACCTTTTTTTTTTTTTAGATTTGGATAGAGTGGAAAGAGGTTAAATGCCTCTCAGGTACATTTACTCTTTTTATATGTCCTGGTGACCACTTTTACAGGGAATGATAGTGAAGGAGGATCCAAAATGTTGCATTGTCACTAAAACAGGAAGTCTTCCAATTGTGGGCACTTGTTACAGGGACAAATGTCTAGCTGACAGGAGTTTAACCATTCTCTACTCTGAGAGACAAAAAACAAAAAGGAGTGCCTCCATAGTGTAAAACGAATTTTAATGATAAAAACGCACAACTATATTGTACTTACAAAAAGTCGGTAGTAAAAAGGCATGTAGAAAACATTGGGATGTCAAATCATCTAGCAGCGGAAGTCTGAAAAGATGTGCAGAATCAGCGTCCACTGCTCCTGTGTGGTCTCGGTTTACATGTTTCTGGGGTACACCCCCTTCCTCAGAACCTCTAACAAACCTCTTACAATTTCACATGTAGTTTACTAATTTGTATTGATATTGTCACAGGAGTGAGATTGGAGCGATGGCCACCCCCCAGAAGGAAGGACAGTGTCGGCACCAATTCAGAGATGATTTGAGGATCTACAGCTGAGTGATACACAAATAAAATACATTTTTGTTAATAGTTAAGGGGCTTGAATGCATTTTTAATGTTTAACTCCTGAGTTTAGTGTCACTTTAAATATAGGTGTTAGGCTATTATAATTTAAGATCAAGGTCAGTAAAAACTGCATGGCCTATGTTCTTTTAGAATGACTAATTCACACAATAGTTTCAGATGTGTGCTTTTAAGCACGGCTACAAAACTGCCTTAGAGGAAGTTACTTCATAAACACAGTCTCTGCTACTTGAAGAAAAATGTGATTAATCTTTACAGTAGGGGAATGGAAAGAACTGTGGTCTAAACAAAGACTTCTTAACCTCCCTGGCGGTATGATTATTCAGGATTTTAGGTACCAAAAGCGGTACATTGTTTTTCAAGCAAATATGTTGTTTTACATTGTAGGCCTGTAGTTCTTAGTAAATCCTAGGAATAACTCACCTAAATCTGTCCAAACAAGAGTCCAGTAGACATCCCAGGTATGATAAAGTTTGAAACACGAAATTAAAAAATT